TAGACGGTATTCAGGAATTTACCTTTAACCATAAGAACCACATCATCAGCATAGGCTATCACTCGACAGCCTTGCTCCTCGAGTTCTATAAGTAGGTCGTTTACAACCAAGATCCAGAGCAGAGGGGAGAGTACTCCTCCTTGCGGAGTTCCCCTATTTACCTTTCTGGTTGACTTAGCACTACCCCACTCCGCTACGACAGTTCTGTCGCAGAGAAGACTGAAAATGAGGTGTTTGAGGTTCGATTCCACTTCAAACTTTTCGAGGGCTCTAACCACTGCCTCTGGCCGAACGTTATTGAAGGCCCCCTCGATGTCGAGAAAGGTGGCCACTGCAAATTCCTTTTGCAATAGCGCTGTCTCCAGCCATGACACTACATCATGCAAGGCAGTGTCGACCGACCTGCCCTTGATATAGGCATGCTGCGCTCGTAACAGTTTACCCCTCGGTATTCTGCACCTGATGTACAGATCCATAAGTCTCTCCAGCGTTTTTAACAAAAACGAGGATAGGCTGATGGTCTGAAATCTTTTGCACCGACATGAGAGCTTTTACCGGCCTTCGGAATAAACGCAACCTTAACCTGTCTCCAGGCCTTCGGGACATGGCCCAATCTAACACAGTTCGCGTAGATAGGGGCCAGCCAGCTGCATGACACCTTAACCGTTCTCTGTAGTTGCGCCGGTATGATGCCATCAGGACCCGGGGACTTGAAGGGCTTAAAAGATTTCAGCGCCCAGGTAAGATGACGCTCATTCAGAAGGTCCAAGAAGGCTGTACAGCCTTCCTGAAGCTCCCCCAGTGGCACTTCTTCAGCAAAGCGATTTCGTGGAAAATGAGCATCTAGGAGTAACCTCAGCGACTCCATGCTACTCGTAGTCCACCCGCTATCTGCATTTCTTAGATACCCCACCGGAGTAGGATTTTTCGCAAGAATACGTCTAAACCTTGAGGACTCGTGACAACCCTCTACACTGTCGCAGAAGGCTTTCCACGAAGCCCTCTTGGCTTTCTTCAAGTCGGACTTGTAAATGGCCAATCCGGCCTTGTACAACGCCCAGTCGTCGCTAGAGCCACTTTTACGGGCTTTATTGAAGAGTCGTCTACTCGAAGATCTGATCTCCGTTAGCTCCGAAGTCCACCAAGGGGGTTTCCCTTTACTTTTCTGAGTTTTCAGAGGACAGGAGCTTTCAAGAGCAGATCTGCTGACAGAGCTGAAAACCTCGACGAGCTCCTCAATCGCGTCCGCAGATAGGATCGAATCCCTGTCAGGCGCGGTTGGGAGAGCTGATCGAAGCTTCCTGCAATACAGGACCCAATTGGTATTCCTGAAGTTTCTGTAGGTTCTATGCTTCGGGCGCGAGGCGTCCAAGCTAAACCCAATACATTTATGATCAGAAAAGGAGTGGTCGTCTAGAACTCTCCATTTCGAGATCAAGGAAGCAATTTCCCTAGAGGCTAGCGTGACATCAAGGACTTCCGCCCTGCTAGCTGTCACAAAAGTAGGGCAGTTTCCCCTATTACAGATAAAAAGGTCTACATCACAAATAAAATCAAAAAGTGACTCACCTCTTGCGTTTGTGTCCGAGCTCCCCCAGACGGTGTGCCTTGAGTTGGCATCCGACCCTATAATAACCGCGGCTCCTTTGCGTCTGGCCTCTGCCAGAGCCATCCTCAGCAAGTTTGGAGGTGGTTCCACCTCGTCGTCGTGCGGCATGTAGGCTGAGACAAGCCAGATTTCCTTAGCACTGTCCTCCAGCCTAGCGGTGACGACGTCCTCGTTGCTGAAATTAGGTAAAAGAAAAACGTTAAGTTCATTTCTGACCAACAGGCAGGCTCTGGTTCTACCTGTGCTGCTTGCCGCCAGGAGCTTATGGCTATTTGTCCTTAGTCCAGATATCCCATAGCTACTCAGCCACGGTTCCTGGATAAGGACAACGTCGGCTTCGTCCCTTCCTAGACGAAGCACTAAATCGGCGGAGGCCGCCTTTGAGTGCTGGAGGTTAATTTGGAGGATCTTCATCCTCCAAACTCCTCTCCAGCAGTGCGAGTTCCGCACCATCGGCCATATCGTCGACGCCAGCCTCCTCGAACAGATGCTCGAGACTGAAGACGGATCCGCCCCCCGTGCTCACCGCGTCCGAGAGGACAGGGTCGACGTCCATTTTCGAGAGGGGAACCTTCCCACTCTCTTCCACCCCCGCAGGAGGCAGCGGGCCATCCGCCCTGGCTTCTGTTGGGAGCGTCTTGAGAACGACTCTCTCGAAGCCATAGCTTATGGCCCCCTTTGTGACACTGAGAGGAGCGAGGGACTCCTTGTTTAGGAATATCAGCGCTTGCCGATATGGTGCCTCGGTCCTCTCCAGCCTGATCACCCTCCAGTCTTGGGTGGGGAGAGATGGGTTGCAGTACCGCAACATCTCTTCAATTTCGGCCGGGGTGGAAGGTTCGGCCGGAAGCCAGACCCGAGCCCGAGGCCGCATCGGGAGATCCGATTTGGCCACCGCCTCGAGCCTTGCTTCTTTCCACACCTCCCCTACCCTGGCTACCGCCTCCTTGTAAAGGAGAGCCGACCGCTCGTCGGCACACCTAATGAGTTTGTGAATGCCGAGGTTCCACCCAGCGCTTTCACATCTAGGGGGTGGTCCAGGGCTTCCCCTGACCACCTTCATGAAAACAGCGGAGATAGCAGCCGCTACCCGCTTCCACTCGTCATGGGAGATGGCTTCATCTCCTCTGCTTCGGTCGTACACCCCAAGCTCCACTGAGCTTGCGAGTTTAGCGATTTCGCTAAACATAGGTGCGGGTCCGACCCGAGGCTTTTTGCCGAGGGAGGATTCCCCCTCCTGCGATCTTTGCCGCTTTATTGAGGTTTGGGGTCCGCTCGGCCCCACTTTACCGTCGCCCACGTCGCTCAGCACCTTTTTGGCCCACTCCAGTGTGCTAGCATGCTGGTCAGATTTCTGGTCAGCCTGCTTGTCACCGTAGCGCTCGAAAATCTTGGCAGTCAGTCGACGATCAGACTTCAGCTTTTTAGCTGCAGTCACTCGCTTTGACATTTTCAACAAAATGAAAAAATATGATTCAATGACTATTCAATGTTTGTTAGGTTATTCAATATGTTTGACAGATGTCATGCCAACTAAACAGAAAAAAAGTTAGGGCTCGTTCACAACAAATGTTCCCTACCAACATATTTGTATCTTTGCGCTCAATTTATACCGGTACGCCTGGTATACTGACTCAAGAACAACGGTAACAAAGAACATCAGTGTTACATCGCCTGCATAAGCAATCACCCAGCAGCCATGATCCTCAAGTTTTTTTTCAGCAGGTCGTTGATAATCATGATCCATAGGAGAGAAGAAAGTACTCCACCTTGTGGGATGCCCCTATTCACATTTCGCCGAGCACGTGCGCTTTTCCATTCTACTAAAAATAAGGTGTTTGAGAGCTGTTACAACTGGCTCCGGCAAGACGTTACTGAAAGCGCTCTCAGTATCTAGAATGACCTTAACAGCGAATTCCTTAAGCTTTATGGCTTTATCAAGCTATGACACGATAGTATGCCTTGCAGAATGCTCTGACCTACCTTTACAATAAACGTGTTGCGCTCTTGATAAATGTTCCGTTTTATGTGCCAGTCTATCAGCCTCAAATTCAACTCAAAAGTTTTCAGTAAGAAAGAGAAGAGGCTGATCTGTCTAAAATCCTTGGCCGTGACGTGGGAGCTCTTACCAGCCCTCGGGATGAACGTAACTCCGACTCGCCTCCAAGGGGAATATATCCCAGTCTATGCACTTCGCATAGATGGATCCCAGCTAGTTGCATGTCACCTTAACAGCCTGTTGTAGTTGTATGATGGCATTCGACTCGGGGGACTTGAATGGTTTGAACCATTTCATCGTCCAAGAAATGTGTCATTCATCCAGAAGCGATGTTTTGCTATGAAAGTGAGCATTAAGCAGCATACTAAGTGCATCTTCACTGCTCAAGGTTCACTTTCCATTTGCATCCTTAAGATAACCCACGGAGACGGGGTTCTTTGCGAGGATACGCCTAAACCTAGAGGACTCATTACAGCCATCAACAATTTCGCAAAAGCTTTTCCATGAAGTCTCCTTAGTCTTTCTTATCAGAATAAAGGGCCAAATATAATACTTATGTGCAACATGAATTATTTGTATGTTAGCTAATTCTTTAATGTCTGCAGTTACGATGATTTTTAACTGAACTCTTTCAATTTGTAAAATGTTTGAAAACGTGAAATAAATATAAAATAAAGTGTGAGAAAAGAAAATTCAGATTGAACGGATTGCTCTTTTTAGTAAATTCTAAAAAACTTGGTCTTATATGAATAAACCGGGTGTTACAAATTGTTGTGGTATAGTCAGATTTTAAATAGAGTTCGAATTAGAACTCTCGGTACTTAACTAATCGACTAACCGGATCAACAGGATAGGGCATTATTCAAATAATAATATTCGGTTTGCAGTATCCGGGTAGTCGTAAGTCGTCGACTATTCCATTTACCGCTCATTTTCGGCTATCCGGTTAACCGTTCGTTGTCAACTATTCGAATAGTAATCGTTCATTAATTTTCTATAAAGTTTATATATAATATATTATATTTATAGAATTGTATATATATATGTATATACGTATTATATATATATATATGTATATACATATTATATATATATATATGTATATACATATTATATATATATATATATATGTATATACATATTATATATATATATATACATATATAAGTTTATAGCCACTTTGCATTCATTTTCACAAATTTAAAACAAGCAAAAATCGAAAGCTACTTTTCATTTATTCAAATACTCGCAGCAGAGCAAATACTCGTAACATTGCGACTATTCGTATAGTATTAATAAGTTATGGAATGGTCTCAAGAATGTGTGCCTGTGAAAAAACAATATGATTCATAGTAAAATAAAAAATATATTTATGTACTTTTTTTTTTACAGATATTTAAAAGTAAAATCTATTCTTCAGCAACTAATTTGAAGGCAATTGTTCGCGAACTTATTTCTTCCAAACAAAGATGCATATTCCAAGTTCTAAATTCATCTCCAAGTAATTTAAAATATGATATCACCAAGGTATTTTCTTTTCGGTAATACAATCCTAATTTTTAATTTTTATATTTTTAATTTCATAGGCTATTGAGGAGAATGTTTTAACAGCTTTTAGTGGGATGTATGATGTATCACTGAATAAATATAATTGTGAATGTCGGACTGATTTTGTTTCAACTCTATTCTCGATGTTTACAGCAAATATTTATTTAGATCCATCATCAGCCGAAATCTTAGTCAACGCAATACGACATATACCTTTGATGGACCAAAAGATTCAAGATCATACTAAATATGCGTTAATGATGCTACATTTGGAAAGCTGCATACATCCCCAAAAGAATAATTTAAAATCTTTGATTGAGATTGATCATGTTCCTATCGGCTTTCCAATGGTAGAATATTTCTCAATAAAATCTAAATATGAAGATATTAATAGGATGAGCGAAAACTCTGCAAAAGATATAACGCAAACAGGTATGTGTCTAGAATTTTGTATAAATATTTACATCCATTACATTACATTACTTTAGTAAATTGTTTTTTTTTTTTTGTTACCATAGCAACATGTTTATCATGTTGTTATATTGCCCAGCATCATTGCAATTAGTCAGCAGAAATCTCCCAACGTGACGGTAAAAGATGAGGTGTTGCAATTAGACTGCGCTTCGTCAGGTTAGCATGCCTCGGGTTTAAACAGTTAAATAAAATAAGTCAACTTCGGCTGCACTTTATAATAGCCCAGCTGCATTTCTTATACCTTAAAGACATATAAATAATTCGTGACGGTATCTTGTCAATCAATTTGTATGGCAGCTATATGTTATAGTGGTTTGATATCGGTAGTTTCCATAAATGACCTTCTTCTTGAGAAATGGACGTGTGCAAACATTTAGATCTCTCTCTCAAACACTGAGTGAATAGTTCGGGTTATACGGACAGACGAACAAGACTAAATCGACTTAGCTCGTAATGCTGATCATTTGTATATATTTATTGTAGGGTCTCCGACGTTTCCTTTTGAGTGTTAGAAATATGGTGGCTTACTTAATATACCCTGTTACGGGTATAAGCATCAAAGCGATCAGATAAGTGGTCTTCGAGTTGCAACTACAGCCAATTTGGAATATATAGTTTCGAGGAAAACCCGTTTAAAGATAAATTCACCCTTTTTCAAATTACTTTGTACTATTAATACATTGGTTTTTGTGAATTAATGATTTCAATTATTGTTTATATATTATATCCCCTACAATCTATTATGCAAAGCTAGAAATGTCCATTAAATAAGTTATAGTCAATCGTCCGTGTTCATTTTGAATGACATATATTCAAGCTTTAATATGTACTATTCTATTTCTGTAGTTAATTGTAACCTTATTTCCTAAATCTTCTTTTATCACTTTTTGCAGAAATAAATTTCAATCTGAAGTCTCTGCATAAGGGATTTAAATTGTACCGTAGTTAAACCTGGTTCATTATCAATTGTTATTCTCTTTACATTAGGGAACCCTTGTAATATCTCTAACACCTTATTTTCTAAATTAATCTTATCTTCAATTTGTTTAATAACCAAAAACTTTGAATAACTATCGATACATGTAATGAATTTTAATGATTGTGCATAAAATATATCTATGTGTATTTGTATTCCCTCCTCTTTAGGTATAGGGACCTCTCCAATAGGTATTTTTATATATGTCTATCATATTAATTTTTATTACAAATTTCACAATTTCTAATGTATTCTTTAAATTGTGTATGCATTTCTGGCCAATAGTAAACATTTGAGATTTGTTAAATATTTTCGTCAAAGCCCCTGTGCGCTGTGTTATGCGTTTGCTCCATTAATGTTCCCTGGTCTCTGTTGGGTATATCCAAGGAAAATTATGTAATAAAAACTTGTTAGTAAATGTTTCTTAATTACCTTTAAATTTGCATATAAGTCTTCAGGTGTATATTGCAGTTACAAAATTTGGTTGTAAGAATTTATTTAGAATAGTCATTAAATTTTCAAGGGTATCATATTCAATAATATGCCTTGGTTTACTAATATTATTAATAGATTCGTGAATGGTAAAGGACCTTTACTAAGAAGTATTTGTTGCTTGAATTGATTCAATGGTTTTTTAGTTTCTTGAATTTGTGAATTATCAGAGCTCTCTGGTGAATGTTGTGTGTCCATTTCTGATGAATCATCAGTTATATTATTTAAGTTTTGTCGGGATAAGTCATCAGCGACTATATTCATTTTTCCGGGTTTTTAAATCATTTTCGGAGCATATTCCTCAATAATGGTATGCCACCTTTTCATTTTTATACTCTCACAACTTGTTGTTACAGAGTACAATAGTTTTGTTCACCTAACGGTTATTTGTATCACCTAAAACTAATCGAGTTAGATATAGGATTATGTATATATAAATGATCAGGATGAAAAGACGATTTGAAATCCGGGTGACTGTCTGTCCGTTCGTCCGTCTGTCTGTCCGTCCCTCTGGGCAATCTGTAACTTGAGTAAAAATTGAGATATCTTTATGAAACTTGGTACACATGTTTCTTGGTACACTGCCACGCCCACAAAACGCCATTGATCAAAAACAAATAAATTGCCATAACTAAGCTCCACAACAAGATACAATACTCTACAGGATCACATTATGGAGGGGCATCTGCAGTTCATTTTTTTTTTTTAAGTGAGCTTGGTCCCGCACCCTAATAAGTTTAATGTGCATATCTCCTATACCACTGAAGCTATAATAACAAAATTCACTGGGAACAACTGTTTTTAGCATGTTGTTGTTGTTGTTGTTGTGACGGTTACCTAATCCCCGTTTGGGTGATAAATTCTAGATTCGTTGTCGTAGAGGTCATCTAACGGAAGGCCCAGGAAACGAGCTGTTTCGACGGGGTCGAGGGGTGTTAGATGAGTGGGGTTTGTTGGGCATGCAAAGAGGTGGTTAGTGTCATGCGGATACTCATTGCATGCAGGACATGTGTTTGGTATGTCAGGGTCTATTCTGGATAGGTAGGAGTTTAACCTGCTACAGTATCCAGAACGAAGTTGCGCGAGGGTCACTCTAGATTCGCGAGGCAACTCGAGCTCTGTGTCTGCTATGGGTGGTGGTTTGACTCGTATTACGCCATTCACTGAGAGGGAGTCGGTGAAGATGTTAATGGCTCCACTGTGAATGGCGGTCAGCCATTGCAGTGAAGTTAGTTGCGTCCGAAGTCTGGTCGGCGTACTGTCTAATGTCGTCGACGTAGTCAAGGAAGGACCTCTTGATGTTCCTAGGAGGCGGCTCCGCTACAAGCAGGCGACTGCAGGGGTGGTTTCTACGAAAACATCCCAGCAGAAACTGCTTCGAGAGGAGCTCGTTATGTTCCTTAACCGGAAGCATACGGGCCTCACTATGTAGGTTTTCGATTGGAGACATCAAGAGGCATCCCGTGATAGTCCGGAGTGCAGTGTTCTGACAAGTCTGAAGCTTCTTCTTCTGCGTGTCACTGCATCCAGGCGACCATATTGCGGCTGCATAATTAAGGACCGGCCGGCCGATTGCCAACAACGTTTCTTTGTCTTTTCCCCATGAGCTGCCGGCAAGCGACTTGAGGATTTTGTTGCGGCTCTGTACTTTGGTAGTTATCGCGGTCGTATGAGGAGCGAAAGAGCACAGACTGTCGAAAGTGACGCCTAAAATTTTAGGTATTTACTGTCGGAATTTTTGTGCCATCGACTGAAATGTTTAGGTCCAGTCTGTACTCCTTCGTCCAATTTGTGAAGATGTTCGCTGTGGGGGAGAGTGTTAGGTTCCTTGCAGAAAAGAAGCGAGAAAGGTCGGAGAGGTAGCCGTTTACTTTTGAACACATGCCATCGATTCCATTGCCCGACGTCAATATCGTACAGTCATCAGCGTACGAGGTCATTGAAATTCGCGCTGGTGGCTGGGGGAGTTTTGAAATATAGAAATTAAACAGTAGCGGGGAGAGGACACCGAGCTGCGGAACCCCCAGTTTAATTTTCCTGAGTTTGGAGTTTTGACCTCGAAACAGTACGGATGAATGCCGACCGCTCAGGTAGTTCATAGTCCACCGCTTCAGCCCTGGAGGGAGCGTTGATTGTTCCAGGTCCTCAAGTAGCGTTGCGTGATTGACTGTGTCAAAAGCTTTTGACAAGTCCAACGCTACGAGGATCGTCCTCTCGCAGGGTGGCTTCTGGTTCAGGCCATGAACTATCTGGGCGTTTATGACGCTAAGTGCTGTGGTGGTACTGTGCACTTTACGGAAGCCATGCTGATGGTCTGCTAGGCTCAGGTGGTGGGTGAATGACGGGAGTAACAAGGCCTCAAGTGTCTTCACTACTGGGGAAAGGAGAGTTATCGGACGATAAGACTCCCCTTTGTTGGCGGGTTTCCCAGGTTTCAGCAGTGGGACCACTCTTCCGACTTTCCACACATCGGGTATTTGAAGAGTGGATACCGACAGGTTGAGGACCTTGGTGAGGTAGTTTACTCCCGTTGGGCCTAGGTGTTTTAACATCAGCATGCTTATTCCATCAGGGCCGATGGATTTAGACGATTTCGTTTTTTTGATGACTTGGTGAAAGTAAGTGGTGCGCAGTCTTTTGGCATTTTGCGCAGCCGTCGGGTAACACATCGTTTGGCCTTGTCGGTCGAAGGGTACAGTATAAACTGCCGGCTAAAGTAGCTCGCGCACTTCTTCGGGTCCGAGGAGGCATGGCCATCGAATTGAATTTCAACCCGATCGTCATGTCTCCTCGGATTTGACAGGGCCTTGACAGTAGTCCAAAGCTTACTCACACCGGTGGAGAGGTTGCAGGACTTCAGGTGCTCTATCCATTTTGTCCGCTTATGATGATTTACCATTTGCCGAATCTCCAAATTGAGATCCTTTATTCGGGAATCACAGGATCGGCATGGCGTAGGTGTCGCGCTCATTTGCTAATACAGCTGCTTCGGCTTGAAATTGGGGCGGAGTTCCGCGATTCTTCCAGCCGGTATGAAGCGAGCAGTAGCAGCAGCGATCACCTTGCGGAATTGACGCTCGCCAAGATGACGTCCGTAGGAATTGATAGTGTGTTGAAGGTGCTCTCAGTAAATTCTGTGAAGCGACCCAGTTAGCTTTGTTAAAGTTAACATAAGGATCGGTTGTCACACAGAAATAAAGTCAGGAGAGTTTCTCGATCGAGATAATTATGGGCAGATGGTCTGATGCAAGAGTTAGCATAGGTCGCCAGGGTTATATATTTATCAGACCACCGCTAGCGATGGTAATATCTGGCGAGCTATTACAGGTGCCCATAATTCTGGTGGGGGCTTCGTCATTCATTTGCAGAATGTCGAATCGTCTATCTGTTCCCCAGCTCCATCCCCTACGATCGTTTGACAGGCAGGAATGCCAAGATCGTGATGCGCGTTAAAGTCGCCTAACACCAGACGGTTTTCACCACGAAGTAGCGCATCTATATTCGGTGATATCCTGTTGGCACATGTAACTGGGGGATGTATATTAAATATTTCGAGCTCGA